CCCCAAAACCCCAAAACCCCAAAACCCCAAAACCCCTAAATATAGCTAAAGGATTGAATTCTCCTTGCATAATGTGGTTTTGATGAATTTTCGCTCTATGTTCAAACCAGACAATCTTCTTATTCATGCTTAGTAAGAGAGTTATAAATTAGCTCCAACCAGCCAAGGCTAGCTGGGGTGATTATTCCCACAAGTCAGTGTTAAGTTGGACTTTAGGCAATCTCGGCTCAGGCGTCTTGTCTTTTAATAACTTAGGTGAAATCTTGGGTAAATTAAGAAAAACAGGAGGTTTTGTAGGTGAAGGTTTTAAAAACTAAAGGTTCGTTACCAAAAGAGTACCTGATTCACATTAGCTTCTCTCCTCTTGCCCATGCTTCTATGTGTCTCCAATAAGTTCATTAGCCTACGGCTTTTGAAGGAAGATGGCATTTCCAATGGGAGTTCATGTTGATTTTCTATAGAACAGTCAACCCTAGAATCATGATTACATACCTCTAGAGATCCTAATAGGTGTAGAGCAATTAGTGTAGCTTTTCAAAGACTCATTGATTGCTTTCAATGCAGATCTATGATCATTTGCTATGAATTTCTCGAAGCTCTTGTTAGCCTCGTCTTCTCTGCTCCTGCTTCTAAGTGTGCTGTTCATGGTGCGGGACAGGGCTATTCGAGAAATGTTCTTCCTGCAGCTTTTTCGTGTGACTAGAAGGCTCAGGGAGATCTTCACTTGCTTATTCTTTCCTATACGAATTTTGTCAAAAATGTGTAGATAGTAATATTAAAATATCAGATGAAACATACTCGGAAATTTGGGGGTTTCACGAGACACGCTGCGCACAACTCTGACTTTCTCCAACACTCTTCTACAAAATCTTGTCCTATTCTGAGCCTGACTCTTGTCTTCCGCCTGAGCTGGGCTAGTTTCAGAACCTGGAGAACGATGATTTTTTCGAAGGAATTTCTGAAAAAGTCTTGTCATTGCATGCCTATCTGAATGCTTCAAGTTCATAATTTATTATTATTTCAATTCGTATGATGATTTTAGGGGTTTTGGGGTTTTGGGGTTTTGGGG